CAGCTCCATCTGGCCCGTTGCAGCGAGTAGAATTTCATTTAACAACAGCCTCGTACCCGAAAAAGTTCCTAAGCGACACCACATAACAATCAATCGATACCGAAAGAATATCTGCTTAGCTAAAACTGACTGAGTAGATATGCTCCCGGTATTGATCGATTGCTGAGAATTTCAACGTCAATTCACTACAGCTGGGTATTTGGTAAACACATTTAATTGTTTACGTTTTTGAGGTGACCACAACACAGCGCATACCGGTAACCTGTTATACGAGTGTAGCAGTAATCCCTTGAATCACGTTATAATCTCGTGTTTACTTTGCAATATCAACAAATCGAGTTCTTTTTTTTTTTACAAAATTATTCCAATGAAGTTTAAATCTCAACAAAATCTCTCAGAGGTCCATACTCCTTTTTACGCTGATAAATAATTTTTTACACTAATAAATAAATTTTACTTTTAGCAATTTACTCTACTGAGCTTTAGCATTGAAATGATGGCGCATTGAAACGTTTTTTCTTGGCCATATTATCGATCCACCGACAATCTGCGGAAGAGTCGCTGGTACTTTGCCACTACGACATGTCCACAGCGAAACAAAGTTCAAAATCACCGCAAAATCAATAAATCAAATAAATTAGTGTTTTGATGCTATTCTAAGACTCGAACAGTCGATTTTAAAGGTAAGGATTGTCACAAAAACTGCTACGACAATTGCCGTAGTCAAGTAAGTAAAATTTTCGAGCTACACAGGTTTCTTTCCCAAGTGGGAGTAGATTGTGCAAAGAAATGCTATAATATAACGTGATTGATAATGGGATGACGTGTAGGCTACTAACTAGTAGGGTAAATATGCGAGAAGGTCAATGCCTTAGCTGCATGGCAATCCGATCGATACTGGATCAGGTAACGCCATGTATACTTCGAGGGAATTGAATACTTTGAAAAACAGCTAAAGTTCTTTGTTTACAGCGATTTACGAGCCAGACCTTCGAGCGCACTTTCAACAAGAAAAAAGCCCATAAAACTTACAAAATTCGGAAATAATATTTTTTTTTATAAAACTACTGAACACTCAAGAATCCGCAACGTGAGCCTCTGTCCGCCGTTCGCCGTACTTGGCTTCGACGGAACCTTTTTGCTCATGGGGTGATTGGCTGCGGAGCTGTCCTATTACTGGCCCCGAACTTCTTTCTGGGACCAACCTCTTTTCTTTTATGAATTGTTTTAGTGTTCTCTGCAGTGATATGATAAAATTGGTCGTATGGTCTTCACAAGCGTCTGCCATTGCAGCTAAAACTTTTCTCATTCTTCCATTTCACACCCAGTTTTCCTTGTAACAAATCTAATTCAATTTCACCCACTTACACGGTGGGGGGCAAGCATGGGGCGTGGTTGGGACATCGATTATGATTGGATGTCGGACACGTCCCCGCCAATCACCCCCGGCCATCGACTCGTCAACCAATAACATGTAAGTAGAATTGGAGATTCGCCAAAGATTCATGAGGCATTAGAGCCTCTTTCAGTACTTTGTTTTGTTGTACTGTACTAGTTTAGGTTAACTGTGTGGCAGAATGAGCTCATTTAGTATTGTAGAGACTTGGTCCCTATGACTTCGCTTTTAATGATTTATTATGCTCTTAGTTTCACTACAATACTGTACTAATTCAGGAGTGTTGTTGACAAGGGACAAAGGAATAGTTTACCGAACCGATTTCTGAAGTCCGATCAGTCGAAACATGTACCGGATCATCAGCAACCAATGTGCAATGCAAAAGCGGAATGTGGTCAGGTTAGTCTCGGGCTCATTGAGTCAACTGCATCCTTTGTTTTTACCGTTTCATCCTTTTCGGCTTAATAGTTTTGAGGCTTTTTTCTCAATTTCAAAAGTGTACATATGCGCAGAAAAGTCCCTTCTTCTTATCGATCGCCCTGATATCGATTTTCCCGTTTAACGCGGCAGCTTATGTGATCTGTGATCAATGCAAAACAATTAGCTGATTCTCGTTATAGACATTCCAAGTCATACAAGATATGGGAGATGGCAAACATCGACAGTTTTACTTACAACTTCCTCCTGGTACTTCCATTGCCGACGTACAGGTGATAGTGCATACCAATTCAATTTCCTTACTTTACACTTTTACAAGTACCTGTACGTCTGAGTTCGTTCACAAGTAATTACACCTTCACCATTGCTTCCAATTTACCGTTTAAACTTTTAAACCTAATGGAGATAGTGGCCGAGAAAATACCGTCGTAGCTGCTCAATCAGCTAAGCAGCCGTTCACTTTTTTGGGGGAGGGGCTAGAGTTCCAAAGTCCTCGAAAGAAGAAGTCCTTGTTCACCTAATATTTGCGACTCCCTTTTCCCTGGTTCCTCTAGACCTTCTATAGCGTGCCCGTGTCATTCGGTTGCCCGGTTTCAAAATTCGGCCTTTTGAAGTTTACAAAAGTGATGCTCACTGTGAGGGTAGATTTAATTAGGGCGATATTCCCAACTACATCTCTCTCCAATTGCTTGCCACTTTCATTTCTCTAGATTGGACGGCATATTATATTGCATCTTCATTAGCGTCCTATATTAGTCGAGCAATTAGTGCACTGAAGCTTGAAGCGGGCATGGCTACGCGGTCACCTGGTCGTGGCTAGAAAGTCCGGAAGGACATAGCTGACTGGTTTGGGACGAACGGGTGTAGAGGAAATACCGGGAAATAGAACGCTCAAGTGAGAGAGACGAGGCGGCTATGTACTAATTAGGAATGCACCTTAATACGTTTTTTTTTNCTGTGAGGGTAGATTTCATTAGGGCAATATTCCCAACTACATCTCTTTCCAATTACTTGCCACTTTCATTTCTTTAGATTGGACGGCCTATTATATTGCATCTTCATTAGCGTCCTATATTTCGAGCAATTAGTGCACTGAAGCTTGAAGCGGGCGTGGCTACGCGGTCACCTGGTCGTGGCTAGGGAGTCCGGAAGGACATGGCTGACTGGTTTGGGACGAACGGGTGTGGAGGAAATATCGGGAAATAGAACGCTCAAGTGAGAGAGACGAGGCGGCTATGTACTAATTAGGAATGCACCTTAATACGTTTTTTTTTTTAATTTTCATAAATCATCCCTTTTATTTTGCTGAAGTGGAGCTTCTCAAAAACCCTTCATTCCACCCCTCCATCATCTAATTACGGAATTAGATTTTTCTTCCCATGCCTTACCCACGCACTCGTTCGCTCTGTGGCGGTAATGCGGCGAGACAACTAATCAAAATATGCAGCCTTATGGGACATGTGCATCTCTTATGCATCCGAATTGACGAGGACACGCTATTCCGTGGTTCGTTCATATGCGCAACTGGCACAGGGCTTATGAACCGAGGCAAAGAATTTATTATTACAGTAGACGTGGAACGTGGAAAGGAAAAATGTTTAAGATGTTTCACTTGAAGTGCAGAAGCTCCACACGCGCTTTGGATGCGGGCTTTCAATAGTCTTTCAGCAATACTTCATCCATGGTGCATGCGCATCGTCATCGTTGCATGCGTCTTTTGAATACTGAATTTTATAGCCTAATAATAAAATGGAATAGGCATTATTTCAGTGGTGAAAAGGTAGTTCGAGGAGTCATAATAGGCATAATTCATGGTAGTCAAAAAATCAAAAAAACATCGTCTGATTTGTTATGGAGGCACAGACGCGCACAGTCGCGCGGCGGCAGAGGGCATAGGGTGGGGTGATGGTACAGGATCGGCAACTTCGCTATCGCTTGGTAAGGGAAGATCAGATGAGCGTGATTCAGCATAACAAGAAATTACACGGTATCACGTGTTAATCCCTGTTATACTAGCACTGTATCGGTGAAGAAGAGGAGGATGGATATCGACCATCTGTACGCTCTTATGAGGTTTCGGTCAAGTGGATGTGGTTTTGTAATTAAGCCTCAGAAGGGTAGAGCACCTTGATGAATGAGATTATTATCTCGTGGGAAAAGCTACGTTTGGGATTCGTCGATCATTGGTGTTCACCAATCATAGCCAATCATAGTTTATCACATATGCTAGGCTCTGCACCATTTTCATTAATTGTGATTGGTCAAAAAAAAAAAACGCTTCACCATTGCGCAATAGGAAATGCCGAATGTTTGAAGTATATCAGCCGTTGATGTAACTCGTTGCGAAATACATTCAGATGAATGTGTCGAAGCTGTTTTTGTACACTAAGGGTTTGACGACTTTTTCAGTTCACTCTTATGTGGAAGTTCACCATTCTAATTGCGAAAAGTCCACCAATAGGCTGACAATGTGAATGAATTTCATTAGATGGAAGGAATGGTGAAGGCTGTGATTCATATAAGTGCTATGAAACTGTCTTCTTTGATCTTTTTCAGTTATTATTTTCTGCTATTTAGCTGACACAAGCACTGAATAGCATTAGCCCAATGCAGTTCGTGACTTTGACGGATTCTAATTCGTTTGTCCCAGTCCAAAGTTCTGTGTCTACTTCAACTGCATCGTCATCACAAAATGTTGTATATGCAGGCATGGAAATTTTCATTCTTGTACTGCTATTGAATGATGAAAAAGGCAGTTACTATATAGTAATGTGTTGTTGTTGCAGGTTCAGCGTCGTCGTCGAAGTCAAGTACTGCCCATAACACGGCTCCTGTGCTACAAATTGCGGAAGATGTGAGTGAATCAAGTATTTTCCAAATTTTTCCTTCCTGTATTGCTGGAAGATCTTCTTATTCAGGAAGATTTGTCCAATGAAACAACGTACATGGTAGTATCAGCGCCTGTTGCGAAAGAGGAGGTGTGCGCTCGAACATTTACTGAGTAATATATTAGGATGGCAACTAAGTAACTGCGTATATTTTAGGATTATATCATTGTTTTTTGCTTTTTGCTTTCTTTGCATTTTGCTTTTTTTAGAAGAATGTTGGTCCACTTATATATTGATTATGTATGCTGGTCAAGTCATAATAGTTTTATTGAATATAAAATGCGAAGGTAACTGATCTGTGAATGTTAATCACTTCGAATACCAGATATTTACCATTTGAGATAACAGTTAGAAGAGTCAGAAAATTGCACGCTTACTTGGTTGCCAACTAATATTTATAGGATAACTCGTACGAAACGTCGATATGTACTTTAGGTAGGTCTATTTCAGGAGCCCCTTTATGTTAATGCTCGGCAATACCATCGAATCCTCAAAAGAAGAGCTGCTCGTCAGAAATTGGAAGCAGAAGGGCGGTTACCAAAGAAGAGACAAGTAAGCGAATTAATGTGACCGTTATAAGTTTTCCGAAAAAAAGGCCTTTATTTTAGAAATATCTTCATGAATCGCGACATCAGCATGCGCTTGCTAGAGTTCGTGGGGAGGGAGGCAAGTTCGATAAGGGAAGGCACCTAGGTAGGTTAACCCTCTGATTTTTCTAGTGTTTTTTGTTTTCGTATTTATGTTGTTTTAGCTGTTTTCGTAATTGCTTATCCTCAACCAATTTCTTTTTACTCAGAGTTTTACTCTACAGACAGCATGTTGGACCATAACGGATCAGGTGCTCACGAATCTGTGTCTGACATGGAAGCTAACCAAAAACGCACCCGGTTTCTTCCAGTACGTGATTTGAAGTAAGTTCTGGTTGCTAGATTTTTGTTGTTTGCCTTGAACGGATGAATGAGTTTTCAAGCGTGAAACATGTAAAAGTCTAACTCGGTTATTTCAGACCCCCTAGCGACGAAGTGCAGCCAATGGGAAATTCATACACGGCCGAATGTGCAGATGGAGAAGAGGTTTTCTAAATTCGTACAGTGTCTCATTGTTTCTTTACTAGTATCGGTTTCTATTTGCGGAGTTTTGCGAATTTCGGCCAAAGTCTGTGCCGATCCTATAAGAAACTGCCGCTTCTTCTTTCACCGGTATGTGAGCTCCGTTGAAGCTCTTCTGTTAGTTTTATTGACTCGTTTGAAAAATGGTCTCTTTAACTCTGCACAAAAATTTTTATAACTGGGGTTCGTCTAAATTCATAGGAGTATGTTAGTTGTGCCAAAACGATGTATGCACTATGAAAATCTGTGATTTTTTGAATCAGTTTTTGCCAAAAACCGGATACATGGAGCATATGGAATTGTGCATACTTCGAATTACTGGTTAGTATCAATCTTTGTTTTTTTACTTGATGTTTTGTTTGAAATGATGCCAATCAATTTATTTGTAGCGCTAAATACGTTTTGTTTTATTGATGTCGCTGGAGATTTTTAAATTCAAGACCCAGTGTTGTCCTCCAGATGGCCCTTCTCCAGCGTTTTTTGTGATATACAATTAGCCCAATTATATTTTTATATGAGTACAAATTCTACAACATTTTCGCACTAAATGTAAAAAGTTTTATCACTTATTTCTATTGACTATAGTTCTAGTTCTTTCTCTGTTGTATGACTTGGACTTGTCATGTAAATACTTGTCTTTTAGTTTTTACTTTGTAAGCGAGTTCTGGATTTTAGAGTGTTTATCATTTGTTTGCTGTTGAGGTAATAAAGTTGCTTACCTGTGTCCGAATCTGGTATCTTTTGAATTCGTACTTTCAATGTTACCCAATATTATGCATGTATTGTATAGAGTTACTAAAGAATTTGTCAATTTGAGCCGATAATTCAACTGTTTGTGCGATTTTCTTGAATGGGGCAATCTGAACATAGAAGGGTGATCCCCAAAAGGAGATCACGAGAGGGATTGTTCTCTAGTGAGACTAACTTGTATAAGATCCGGTGCAATGGTCTTCACTGTGTACTAGCAATTAACCGAATTCCTTGCACGAACGAAGGCTTCAAATTTAGATTCTGGTGTTTAGTTTATTTACAAGAATTGTCAACAAAAAACAAAACAGCTGGTTGTGGCTCTGCCGTTTGATGTTTGCTGGCCCAGCAGCTTGACGGCTCATTTTTCTTGCCGACGACCGATTATGTCGAGACGTTGAGCACCTGCTCCTCTTAGGATTGATGATTTTACTGAATTGACCAGTCACGTGTCAACCGCAAAAGCAGCGACATATGGACGAGCTTGAGTAGGATGATGTTGTTTTGACTATCACGGGGGTTACTGCAGTAATGATCTTTCAGGAAGTTAGGAATTATGTATGACCTATGCGCCAGCGACCCATCATAATCGACCCAGCGAAGTACCCACCCATCATATTGCCTCTGAAAGTTATGTGCAAACTGGTAAACGTTAACAGATGAAGTTACAATGGTGTAATGGATAAGTTTAGGATCCAGAGGGAGCTCATGGGTTGGTTAGAGCTCGAGCGGACGAGGTTTTCCACACAATATCTCTAATGGAAATGAAGATATTCGAAGGCCTTCGTCGAAGAAATCATTTTGTAGAACTTTCCAATTGTTGGTGATTAACAGGGATGGAACAGTTGTAAAAATTGCAATTTTACAAAAACTTTTCAATCAAAACCATTTGCTTTGTTGCCATACACTGTCATGTATTCCGACAGTTGAATTTTTATAATGAATGCGTTAGATTCTAAGAATTCTATTTCTTCGTTAATATCATCATATGAATCTACTAGGGTAACGGATTCTCCTCGAATTCCCATGGCCAGCGGCAGTGGTTCCGCGGCGACTCTCTGCATCCTTCCATTGGGAATTCAAATCTTTCCGTTCATAGCGCGCGATCGCGTGCGGCGAGCGCGAAATTCCGTTCGGGGAGAAGATGACAGACCCGAATCTACTATTTCACAGAGCAGTAATTCCTTGAAGAGGAAATCAGAAACATCTCAAGCCTGGAAGCGTGATGATCCCGAAGAGGGCTTAGTGGTCCAATTTCCTTATTGGTTCGCTCACCAGGGCTCCCGTCGCAGGAGAAAAGGAAAATTACCGAAAAGGTATCGAACCTGTACGGGGAATTTTTTAAAGAATCTCTAGAGTTTAAATACATTCTAGGGGTAAATATCTTATGCGTTCATAAGCTGTTCGGTGCCTTTGCAAGCATATCAGGATTCTATCCGCTCTGATAAGCATGTTCGAAAGATTATTTAATCGACAATTGGTGGAAGCATAGAAAATTTTGCATTTCGTACCATTTGTGGGACTACACACAACCAATGCATGCCATAAAGAGGGTATGTGGACTTACGTGAGGATGCGCGCGGCAAATTGCGCGCGAAGTTCGTAATGATTTGAACGACTTTAGCGCCT